CCCCACCCTGTATGTTGTACTCATACTCTCAAGCTAAAGATCCCAGGAACACACTGTAGTTTAAAAAATTGGGAGGAGAGGAAACGTGAGGACAGCATTCCCATAGGAGGGGAGCAGCAAGGGTGAAGAAAAGGAAACACCTGGAGGCATATTTTTAAAAAACCTTCAAGAGCGAGGCTCTTGGCTTCAGTGACTCTCAAGGAGTTGGAGGTGGTGGAAAACCGGAACCTCACAACATGGGGCGTACAATTGTGGGGAGCCTCCATGGGATCGATAGTTCTCCAAGGCCGCTTCCCTCACTGCCTCCATCCTCCCACACGTTTAGTTCAATTATATAGGCTCTATGTGGGAAACCCAATACTAGCTGATATTTTAATATGACTCTACATATTATACAACAAAATTGCTTGTCCAAAAAGGTTTACCGCCATCCAGGGAGATACACCGGGTTATTAGTCAGCGAGCGGGCTGTCAGTGGCAGAAGATCAATGATCCTAGATGTAATGTTCCATGCTCGCTTGCAACTAGATAGACTGTAGTGATTTTTTTCCAGACCATCTAACATACAACATATTTAAGGGAGGTCTCCGTTTTTATTTTATAGTGAAAAATGTCTAATTTATGGTTTTATCACTCCGTGCCCTGCGCATATACAATTGACTGCTTGAATGCTATACAATAGTTGGTTTAAAGACACCATTGTTACCAATTGGAAATTTAACATACCACGACAAGAAAATGTTAACAATGATAAACACCTCAGACAGCAGAGAGGTGTGATGATAGGCAAGTTCTCTGGAGCCAGACTGTCTGGTTCAAATTATACCTCTGCCACTGGAGACAAGTTATTTGGTTCCTGTGCTTCTGTTTCCTCATCTGTAAAGTGGGGATAATAATGGGACCCTCCTCAGAGGTTTGTTGTTGAGATTGAAGTATATATTTAGTTTTTAGACCTTTATGATAAGCACTATATGAGTGCTTTATCTTTGTTAATAATGATGGTGACAAGGGCCGAAACTGGTTTGGCTCAGTGGATAGAGCATCGGTCTGCAGACTGAAGGGTCCCAGGTTCGATTCTGGTCTAGGGCGTGTACATTGGTTGCAGGCACATCCCCGGTAGGGAGTGTGCAGGAGGCAGCTGGTCGATGTTTCTCTCTCATAGATGTTTCTAGCTCTCTATTCCTCTCTTCCTTCCTCTCTGTAAAAAAAAAAACAATAAAATATATATATTTTTAAATGATGGTGACAAGGTCTTGAAAAATAAAAAGTATTTAACACCACATTCTTATAGTAAGTGAGTTAATGAACTAACCAGTATACATAAATGTTAGCAGACCTTATTGAGGAATTAATTCTCTTAGTGCAGGACAGTCATATAATAGATCAGTCTCTGGCACCATCTGGAAGTATACCTTTAATTTAAAAAAATTTTTCTCTCTGCCTGACATGTCTGATACTTCCAGGCCTACCGTGGGTAGGGGTTTTAATACATTCTGTGACTGAATATTTTGGACTTTGCCTTAAGAATGCACTAGAAATCTCAGATCGTTAATTGGGGCAACCAGATTTAGTGTCACTGAAATAAGTGTGATAACAGCTTGATCATGAAAAGCTTTACATAAAGAAAACACCTGCCTGGTGTTAATAAGATACATGAATTTCAGACAACAGAAAACTGAAGAAAATTACCACTCTGCCTCTCTTGATAAAATACCAATGGAGGGCTCTCTATTTATTTCACTATACCTAACATTTTATTTGAATTACTATGAAATGTTAACAGAAAATCAATTGGATTGTGAAGTCCTAACAGGTGAAGAGTTTTTTAAATACTGCTGAATCTTTATATGTACTAACAGACTTATTAAGGCAATATGAAAGAAAAAGAGAAGAAAGATGTTTATTTTGTTCTTGATATGTATTACAACAAGCAATAGAGATCTGAGAAGAAATGTCAAGGATCTGAGTAGATGGGGATGTATTGGGCATTAACTTCAACATATGCACATTTTCTCTCTCTCAAGATTCAGAGCCTTAATAGAAAAATGTTGAAAACTTTTATCAATTGCCATCTTTTATATCCAAGAGAAATTTTTTTCTTCTTTTTTTTCTTTTTTTAATATGTTTTATTGATTTTTTTTTACAGAGAGGAAGAAAGAGGGATAGAGAGTTAAAAACATCGATGAGAGAGAATCATTGATCAGCTGCCTCTTGCACACCCCCCACCGGGGATGTGCCCACAACCAAGGTACATGCCCTTGACCGGAATCGAACCTGGGACCTTTCAGTCCGCAGGCCAACGCTCTACCACTGAGCTAAACCAGTTTCGGCCAAGAGAAAAATCTTTTAAAAATTGAAAACATTATTACAACTAAAGTTAAAAGATTGGTCAGGTGGCTCAGTTGGTTGAGTATAGCCCTATACACTAAAAAGGTTGCAGATTTGATTCCTGGTTGGGGCATGTACAAGAGGCACCTGATTAATGTTTCTCTCATACATCGATAACTTTCTCTCTCTCTCTCTCTCTTTCTCTCTCTCTCTCTCTCTCTCTCTCTCTCTCTCTCTCTCTCTCTCTCTCTCTCTTCCTTTCTCTCCCCAGCAGGGGAGAGCAGTTAGGGGTGACTGGACTGGCAGGGGAGGGCAGTTGGGGGCGACCAGGCCTGCAGGGGAAGACAGTTAGGGGGGACCAGGCCTGCAGGGGAAGACAGTTAGGGGGGCACCAGGTCTGCAGGGGAGGGCAGGTGGAGGGGACCAGGTCTGCAGGAGAGGGCAGTTAGAGGTGACCAGGCCTTCAGAGGATAGAAGTTGGAGGCGACTGGGTCAGCAGGGGAGGGCAGTTGGGGATGATCAGGCTGTCAGGGGAGCAGTTAGGCATCGATTGGGCTGGAAGGGAAGTGGTTAGGCATTGATCAGGCTGGCAGGGGAGTGGTTAGGGGGTTATCAGGCAGGCAGGCGGGCAAGTGGTAGGGAGCCAGCAGTTCCGGATTGTGAGAGGGATGTCCCAGATTGGAGAGGGTTCAGGCTGGGCTGAGGGACACCTGCCCCAGTGCACAAATTTCGTGTACCATGCCTCTAGTATTCTATAGAGAGGCACAGTGCACAAATATATATGCACAACAACAACAGACAGTTAAATTTTATGTATAGTCAGAATTTAGTTGACTGCAATGAAGTGGTCTAAAGAAAATTTGGATAATCAAAATCTATAGTACTACAAAAATTTAATTTGCCAGAAGGTCAAACTTTAATTTGTTAGAGGGTCAATCTTCAACTTACACTGCATAAAACTATTGGCCCGACATGCCAGGCAATAAAACAACTGAAGACAGGCATTCCTTTCACCCTTCCAAAGATTTATATAACTTAAAGCACATGAATAGCACTGCATAGTTGTTAAGCACTGTTACATATATTGACACTTTTAATCTTTCCCACATCTTTATAGGGAAGGGACATTATAGACATATGGAAGGTTTTGTTATCATCTTCACTTTATATATCAACTAGAGGCCTGGTGCACAATATTTTTGCACTGGAGCGGGTCCTTCAGCCTGGCCTGTGCTCTCTCGCAGTCCAGGACCCCTCCAGGGGTGTCTGGGATCTAGCCTAAGCGGGAAGACAGACATCTCTCTCACAGCTCTTGCAGTCCAGGACCTCTTACTTCTTACCACCAGCCTGCAGCAGAGGCAGGAAAGGCTCCCACCACCACTGCTGTGCTCATCAGCCAGAAGCCGGGTTTGCTGCTCGGTGGGAGTAAACTCACCACCAGGGGACAGCTCCTGCATTGAGCATCTTCCCCCTGGTGGTCAGTGTGTGTCATAGCAACTGATCATTCTGCCTTTCTAATGATTTGCATATTACTCTTTTATTATATAGGATGACTGAGGATCTTAAGTAAATGCAGGTAATTGGCCCAAAATATATTAAGTCTTAAATTTCAAGCTTTATTTATTATATTGTGTTGCACTGTGAAAGTCTCTGACCTTTCCCACAATAACTTCTCTAGTCAGCCTTGTATCCTTACTGCCAATGTCCACACTGTTCTTTTTCCTCTTTCTGACCTTGGAATCTTTGTCTTCACTTCCCTTACCCCCTTCATAAATTCCTCTCTGCATTGTTGCTGCTTTTCTTGAATGTCCAAATGGCAACCATCATTCAAGGTCCAACAGAACTTCCACCTCTTCCAGGAAGTCTTCCAGCTCTCTCCATTCTTATTTAATACAGCACTTTCAGGGATTGGTTCTTAGGTTCTGAAGTTGTTTCATTTACGTTTATAAGATTCTCCTACTAGATTATTATGAGAACAGGGACCAAGTTTTATACTTTGAAATTCAGAGCACCCTAGCTCTGGATATATATGTAGTAAATTCATGATAAGTATTTGGCTATTATTTAATCTGTCCAATAGAGTCCTTGTCTGCTGAACTTACTCTATCTGTATTTCAAACATGTGACTTATAAGTTACCCTGTATAATGACTTATTATAGTTGAGTTTAGTATGGTCTTTTCAAAATGTTTATATACAAATTGACCTTAGCATTGATTTCTAATGGCAGTGAAGCCAAGGCATATGGCCTGTGGGATCAATTCAACTATATATGCCTGATGAATTCCCCGAATAGAGCAGACATTTGACCCATATATCAGTATTGAGAACAGGAACAGGAAACATTATGCAGTGATTGCTTTTCCATAGAATTACATTAGCATTGCTTATCGGGCTATTCATAATTTCTCAGCAGATCAGGGGATATCTTTAATAGTAGTTCCTGTGGAACAGCATATGAAAATAGTATTCTGCTATTCATTATAAATGATGCTGACCAAGTATATTGTCGTTACAAATTTAATTTTTAAGAAAGAACTCTCCATGTGAAAATGACACACTTGAGAGCCATTACATTAAAAAACAAAAAGTTGGTATTGCGTAACAACTCAGTCCCTTCTGGAACATAAGTATTCTGTTTAAACAAATAACTACTTTTGTTCATATTTTTAGGAGAATTTGGAGAAGTCTGTAGTGGGCGTTTGAAGACACCAGGAAAAAGGGAGATCCCAGTTGCCATAAAAACTTTGAAAGGTGGCCACATGGATCGGCAAAGAAGAGATTTTCTAAGAGAAGCTAGTATCATGGGTCAGTTTGACCATCCAAATATCATCCGACTAGAAGGTGTTGTCACAAAAAGTAAGTATTGATTTTCTTTATTCTTTTATGTCTCATTTCTTTTTATTTTAAAAATCTTAATTACTATAGCCATTAGGGGGATAATTTAGTTCAGATGTCATCTTCTGATATTGCCTCTCAGAGCCTTGATATTAAGCTATGACATTGTCAGAGTTTGCATTGGTGACCAAACAACTTTGAAATGGTATTTATTACCTTTAAATCATTTGCTAATTTAACTTGAAGTAATGAATCAAGAGTAAAAAAAATATATATATATATATATATTTCTGTAAGCTATTCACTTTTTCTAAAGCTGCTTAAATTTCAGTATTAGTAAAATAAACAGTTAAATATTTTGAGTTATTAAGATAAAATACTTCTGTTTGGAAATAAATTACATATATACAAATGTGGAATAATTTATCTGAAATAAAACTTTTAAACAAAAAATTCTGTGTGGAACCCATCTAGATAAATACCATTAAGACTAAATTATTTTAATTTTACATAAAATATAGAATTAAAATATCTAAAATAAAAATCTTATTTTTAACAGAATAGTGGGATGAAAGCCATTCCTTTGAAAAGAAGCTTCTTTAAAAATCCACAATTAATCATATTTCTAAGAAACAAATTGCTTTATATTCACTTTTATTTGAATAATAATAGAGCATAAAGCCTAACTATATTTCTCCTTATTTTATTCACTAAAGAACTATAACTTTAAAAACCCAGTACAGAATGGCATTTTTTAAAATACATAAAACAATTTAAATTTTTGAGAGGCACTTTTCTTTTATAAAACTGAAATTTCTTTGAAAATCATTTATATAAAACTAGAGGCCTATTATACAAAATTTGTGCATGGGGATGGGGGGGGTGTCCCTCAGCCCAGCTTGCACCATCTCCAATCTGGGACCCCTAGAGGGATGCAGGCTGGGCTGAGGGACACACCAAACTGGGACCACTGGGATCGGTTCTAAATGAGTAGTCGGGCATCCCTCTCACAAACCGGGACTGCTGACTCCCAACTGCTTGCCTGCCTGCCAGCCTGGTCACCTCCTAACCACTCTCCTGTCAGCCTGATTGGCACCTAACTGCCTTCCCTTGCAGGCCTGGTTCCCCCCAACTGCCCTTCCCTGTAGGCCTTGTCCCTCCCAACTGCTCTCCCTTGCAGGCCTGGTCCCCCCCAGCAGCCCTCCCCTGCCAGCCTGGTCACCCCCAACTGCCCTCCCTAGCAGGCCTGATTTCCCACAACTGCCCTCCCCTGCTGTCCATCTTGTGGCAGCCATCTTGCGTCCAACATGGGGTTGGCCATCTTTGACCACATGGGGGTGACCATCTTGTGTGTTGGAGTGACAGTCAATTTGCATATTATCATTGTATTAGATAGGATTGACATTTTATGTCATATTTGGAAGCAGAAAAGTATAAACATTTACTAAATATATAATTGACTGTATCTCTGACACTCAAGTTCTTGTCACAGCCATGATATTATAGTTTGGAGCTGTCATAAAAGTGCATTTAATGACTGCTATTACAGTGGGCTGTTACTTTAGTGGCCTTCATGGGCCTTCCAGTATCCATGATTCTGGGCTTGTCCATGTGACTAGCCTTGGCCAATGAGACACTAACATATAGTACAACTGAGAGCATCTTACACGTCTGCACGTTGGATCCGGTCCTCTTCCAAAAGTCCTTCCTATAGCCCAGTGTGCAATGCTGACCAAAGCCAATCCACATGATCATGGTGAAAGCAGCACCGCCAAGAGGAGGGCTGAGGCTCTCCCATCTGAACTCCCAACAGACAAGTCAGCACGGAATGCCAGCCTTGTGATGAACCACCTCAGACATTGCACTTCCCCCCTGCCACCTAGAGTTGACATCTTGTATGGAAAAGAATCACCCTGCTCAGTTCAGTCAACCCAGAAAATCATGAGAGATAATAACATGGTTATTGTTTAAAGTCACAGAAATTTGCTCAGGTTAGGGTGAATTAGTTAACACCTCTATACTTTATTTCCACATTTATAAAAAAAAGGGCCAAAGTAACTTTAACTCCAGGGGAATGCTGTAAAGATCTCCTTTATAAATGTATAAAGCATTTAGCACAGAATGTGGCTCACAGTAAGCCACATTAAATGGTAGCCATTATTGGTGCTCTGTGCCAGGCACCTTACATATACAGTTTGCCCTTTTTTTATTCTTTACTAGAGGCCCGGTGCACAAAATTCATGCAGGAGGGGAGGTGTCCCTCAGCCAAGCCTGCACCCTCTCCAATCTGGGATCCTTCTAGGAATGTCCCATTGCCTGATTAGACCCAATGGGCAGTCAGACACCCCTCTCACAATCCAGGACTGCTGGCTCCCAACTATTCACCTGCCTGCCTTCCTGATTGCCCCTAACCACTTCTGCCTGCCAGCCTGATCACCCCCTAATCACTCACATGCCAGCCTGATTAATGCCTAACTGCTCCCCTGCCAGCTTGTTTTCCCCTAACTGCTGAACCCTGCAGGTCTGGTCAACCCTAATTGCCCTCCACTGCCAGCCTGTTCTCTCCAACTGCCCTCCCCTGCTGGCTATCTAGTGGTGGCATCTTGTGTCCACATGGGGGCAGGATCTTTGACCACATGGGGGCAGCAATCTTGTGTGTTGGAGTGATGGTCAATCTGCATATTACTCTTTTATTGGATAGAATGGAGGCCTGGTGCATGGGTGGGGGCCAGCTGGTTTGCCCTGAAGGGTGTCCACATCAGGGTGGGGGTTCCCTTGGGGCGTAGGGCAGCCTAGAAGAGGGGCATGTGGTGGTTTGCAGGCCGGCCACACACCCTGGCGACCCAAGTGGAGGCACTGATATCTGGGGTTTATTTATCTTCTACAATTGAAACTTTGTAGCCTTAAGTGGAGGTCTAGGCTGTCCAGGGTGTGTGGAAAGCTTGGCTCCCTCCATTGCCAGGGGCAACCCTAGCCTCCCGCTCTTTCCAGCTCCACGGCTGCCACCGTTTCTGTTAGAATTTATTTACCGTCTATAACTGAAACTTTGTATCCTTGAATGGAGGCTTAGGCCAGCAAGGGCAGGCAGAAAGCTTGGCTTCCTCGGTTGCTGGGGAAACCCAAGCCTCCCTCCTGCTCTGTGGCTGTAGCCATCTTGGTTGGGTTTATTTGCATACTCGCTCTGATTGGATGGTGGGCATGACTGGTGGGCATGGCTTGTGGGTGTAGTGGAGTGGTGGTTAATTTGCATATCACTCTTTTATTAGATAGGATTGTTGAAAGAATTACATATGCCCCTGTTTCCACCCCCCCCCCATTAACCTCTCCCAGCCTGCCCCTGCCTCCACAGCCCAGGCCTTCACCCCCCTGTTGTCTGTGTCCATCCACTCCCTCCCCTACCCCCCAGCCAACCCTTCTCTGCTTTCCCTCTGCGATCCCACAGTCTGTTTCATGCTTCCATATCTCTATACCTACTTTTGTTCATTAGTTTACATTCATCATTATATTCCACAAATGAGTGAGATCAAGTGATACTTATCTTCCTCTGACTGACTTATATCACTTAGCATAATGGTCTCCAGGTCCATCCATGCTTCTGCAAATAGTAAGATTCCTTCTTTTTTATAACTGCATAGTATTCCATTGTGTAGCTGTAACACTGTTTTCTAATCCACTCATCTGCTGATAGGCACTTAGGCTGTTTCTAAATCTTAGCTATGGTAAATAGTGTTTCTATGAACACAGGGGTGCATGCATTCTTTCTGATTGTTTCTGATTTCTGGGGATATGTTCCTAGGAGTGAGATCACTGGGTCAAATGAGAGTTCCATTTTTAATTTTTTAAGGAAACTCAATATTGTTTTCCACAGTGGCTGCACCAGTCTGCATTCCCACCAGCTGTGCAAGAGGGTTCCTTTTTCTCCACATCCTCATCAGCACTTGTCATATGTTTATTTGTTGATGATAGCCATTTTGATAATTGTGAGGTGCTACTTCATTGTTGTTTTTATTTGAATCTCTCTGATGTTTAGTGATTTTGAACATCTTTTCATATGCCTCTTGGCCTTCTGTATGTTCACATCGAAGAAATGTCTATTTAGGTCCTTTGCCCATTTTTGATTGGATTCTTTATCTTCCTTTTGTAAAGTTATATGAGTTCCCTATACATTTTTTAGATTATCCCTTTATCATATGTAATATTAGCAAATATGTCCTCCCATGCAGTGGCTCTCTTGTTATTTTGTTGATTGTTTCTTTTGATGTGCAGAAGGTTTTTATTTTGATGTAGTCCCATTTGTTTGTTTAATTCTTTTTCCATTGTCCAAGGAGATGTATCAATCAACATATCGCTATGAGATGTGTCTGATAAATTGCTTTGGATTCTTCTAAGATTTTTATGGCTTCCCATTTTACATTTAACTCCTTTACCCATTTTGAGTTTATTTTTGTGAAACAGTGTAATTAACAATGTAATTAACTTTCATAGGATTCCTAACTCAAAGTAAGTAGTATGAATGGTGTCCCAACTGAGCTCTTTCTGACTCTAAAATTCATGGTTTCTTGATTATTGTTTGTTTTGCTGTATCACAATGAATAAGCCATAGTTTTACACTTTAATTACCTTAGCTGAACCAAATAACATTAAATAAATCATCTGATATTGCTTTTAAAATATATATTACTTTTTAAATAAAGAAAATATTCAGGTGATTAAAATAAGGAAAAAATTCAGGTGATTGCCTCTGAAAAAATAATAATCTAAAAGAGAGATAAAATAACATGCTAATTATTTTTTTATAGTTTCTGACTTTCTTGTTATTAATCTAGCATGAGTACTTCAAGTTATTCCTTTTGTTTTATATCTTGCTGGAAGGAAAAAGATAAATTTAAAGTTGGGTTATGGATCTTTGTAAAGCATTTAAAATAATAATTTAAGTATGATGTTGAATTCCTCTTATGTGTATTTATGCATGAAATATCTGGAAATAAGTGTCCAACAATAAATTCAAAGGCTGAAAAGTA